GACCGCAATCTCATTAGCACATTCATCTCAGTTATGTTTGTCCGGTCTTAGTTAGGATAGAAACGTCAAAAAAACCTATTTCACTACTCAATGCACGCCTCCATTTACTCTTGATATATATATATATATTCTCAGCTTCTTTGAGGTCTGTGACAAAGTACGAGCCGAGTAACGTAACTGTGGGATCACTACTCGGTGGTTCATGAATGATGCACGGACTTATCGGTAAAGTGAATGGTTCACGCCAGATGTTGTTCGATCACGTTCTTAGCAAACTTTGGGCAGATTCCATGAAGCTTGTCTCGGCGCGCCAATCCTATCTTTGGTTGATCCAACACACTATTTAATGCAGTCAAGCCGAAAAATACCCAACCATTGACCAAAAAATCTATCAAGTACCAGGGCATCACACACTCGATTTTCTGTTTGAGCTGTAATTTATCAAGTCAGGAATGTGCACATGTGACGTTCCGTTCACTCGTTCCAAACGATGCAGACTGCCCTACATTTATCTCAGTTTAGAAAAAAACTATGCGGAACATGATCAGTATGACACAACTCTGCCATGCGGCAATAGAAACGATATTGACGAAGTTTTATCTATTTTATTAGTGGTAGATAACGATTTTCACACGTTTCATTTTTGGGGTGTTAAAAATATGAAACGCCTGCCATTGGCGAACTCCTACTTTGCAGTATTCAGTCGTAGTAGCTTCAGACCGATAGTGGAACATGATCGAGAGCTAGCACAATCTTCGGTCTGTCTGTCACAAGTAGGCTTTTGAATGGATGCAGGCGTTGGTTGTTTGGAGCATTTTCTCGTGCACTGTTCTCTTCATCTAGCNATCTAGCATGGACTTCACCAGGTTCGTTAATTTCCTGATGTTGCATTTTTTCGCTAGCTCGGTCTTCAGTAGTTGTTTAAGTCTCAATGCCACCTCCGGTGAAGTTTCTTCACTTTGAACGGTGTGTGTGCGCTCAGTGCTGCACCTTTCGCGCTCAGATAATCCCGAGCGTAATCAGGTTTACAATTGCGGTGTTTTTGAGGGAACGATATATCTTCCCCGGGATATCTGCCGTGTTGTCGAGAACCATTAGAGACTGAACGATTTTTATTTTTAGAAAGACTATTGTGCCATGAGTTGTTTGGCGTCAGACATGTGAAATATATATATATATATATATCTTCATATTTGGTGTTCAGTTGTTCGCCGAGCTTGGCAATTGTATTGCAAACGTTTCATCACCAATCGAGGTGACATTCTCAATGCAGTAACTGGGTGAGCGCTTACGAGTGTCCCTTTCCTTATATAGGTCGTTGAGTCATGTAGAGATGTGACGTTGCCTGATTGGTTGATGTTTGTTCACCTTGTGTCGATAGGGGATGAGGTGGACGCGAGCAGTCTGACGACTGGTTGTTGATCGATCGGTCTAATTGTTACTGTCGTCCTGCTGTGACTTGTGACATGACCTGCCTTCTTTGCGCTGATTGGTCCTTTCGTTGCATGGGGATGTAGACTTGATCGATGCCAATGTGTCGGTTGGCAGTTTTCCGATGAATACCAAGCTTCCGGAAATTCTCTTGCGTGCTTGGTGCGGGCCTGATCGACGACTTTGGTGTTTTCGAAATCGAAGTTGTGTCCTTCTTGGTTTTCATGAATTGAGATGAGTGAGAGTGCATCGTGTCTTATGATGGCCAGTTTGTGTTCGTGCACGTATGTTGCTAGTTTTCTCATCGGTCCAACGGGTTCTCTCCAGTCTGCTCCACCTTATGACTTGGAAGCTATGAACAGTATCCGCTTAATTTTGATCACAATTTGAGCATGAAACTGATAGACCGGAGAGAAATTAGCTCCGTGAGTGATGGGTCATCAGATTCGCGAGCACCGGACGCAATCCACGTGTACGAATTTGTTTTGTTGACAGATGCAATTCCACCCATTGGAATAGTTCTTTTTTGTGTTCCGGTAATGACGGAAGCATAGATGAGTCTGGCTATAGAAATAAGTATCTTTTCCTGTGATTCGATCGGTCTAACAAATTTTTCCTTTAAGGTTAGCGATTAGTTTCTGGATGAAAGGTAAGCATATTTGTTGTCCGAAATCACAGAAATATGAACTTTTCCATACTGCTCATCTTCCAAACAGAGCGATGCAACACATCTGCTGTTGCCCCGGTGGTCGTATCGCCGTGGACCGTATCTGCATTTGTTGAAGGGGCGGCAATCCATGACTACGGTAGCAATTCACGATCGAAGAGTAGGTAAATTTGCGCCTGGAAAGAGGTATTTGCCGCATTTGATTGCCAACAAAATACAATCATGATGAATCAATTTCCGTTTGTCATTGGAAGCAGGAAAACAATTTCACCACATCCGAGTGCAGTATGGCGTCAACCTGGACGAAACTGCTTAGGACCATAAATGACGGAGTGATGCGAAAACCAGGCACTGTTTATTACCCGCACGTGTTTGGAATATGGCACGAAGATAACGCACCCTGAGTGGCAAGGTTCACCACACACACATCGGAATGAACAAACAATGATTATGTAAGCACTGTATACACAAATTCTTGGTCAGAAGAAGAATAGAATATCGAAAGCATTGAAGTGGTATGACCAAAAAACCAAACAAACTGAGAGAACGAATGTCAGTGTGTGTGCATATGCGTGCCAAACACGAACAGACAGACCTGAGCTACCATTCTGGAGCAATGGTGGTGATAGTTGAAAATGATGTCCGTGATCCTAGAGAGTGTACACACAGAGAGAGGGGGAGTGGGGTTGGTCGGGTCTGAAAACAATAAGGGGGACGGGTGTTGGAATAAGTTAGATTGAAGAAGAAAAACACGTAAGTGAATGTGGGATCCGGGTGATGGGATAAACACAATGTGACATAGCCGGGAAGCGGTCGGGATTAAAAAGGAAACCGGTTTAAGTCCGAGCAGGAGAGATTGTGCGCTGGACGGGGACACCGGACGAAATATCACCTGTGCAAACGATGAGGTAGGTAGAGAAATTCGGGATCCGGGACCTGAGTGGTTGTTTAACCGGAAGTGAAAATGTGAACTCACGCATATGGCCAGACGGAGAACGAGAAAGAAAGGTTCATACACAAATAAGCCGAATAGAACTCACAGACAAACCAGCTTGGAAATCGAATGCTGCCTAGAATTTACATTCAAAAGTACCCGAATCTATAGATAAATTTCCGTACCGGCCGTTTTTCTGCGACTCGAATTGTTCTAATACCCCTCCAAAAAAGACAGAGAAAACTTAAACAACGGGAACAGCAAAGTTCCAATCGAGAAGGAACCAAAACACATACACAGCAACTCATAGTGCTGCGGAGAAACAAAATGTATAACTATAAAAAAGAACAGAAGTAAACACATGAAAGAAAATGTCACCCTGAGAACACTAATTGAGGTAGAGATGATTTATACAGGTGTAGGCTCGAGCCCTGAGACAGATGCATGACGGGAGAAGAACATGGTTTTCATGGGATAGAAAAACAATAATAACCATGATTAGAGGGGCGAGGATGATTACAGTAATAGTGGTAATAATAATGATAATAGTAATAATTAGAATGATAAGAATCGCAGTGAGGGGTTAAACTGAAACGTAAAATACCGGTATCGAAGAAAAAATAGAAGTGTGTATGTGTGTGTGTGCGGGGGAGAGGGAGGGGAGGGTTCCGGAGATTCCATACAGTGGTGGAAAGATGGATCACACAAACAGAATTGACGTAGAACTGGG